TCTTAAACCATTTTTTACCACTTCCCCTACTTTCAAAAGTAACGATTCAAACCTCTAATTAGTAAATGTGTTTTAAAATATTAGGGTGAGAGTAATACGTAATGGGGTAAAACGAACATCTGCTAGTGATAGGTTTAGTCGGTTGCAAATGATATCAGAATTAGTCACCGGGCCGGTGTGCAAGAGAGGACACTGGGGGTCAATATCAAAGCTAGTCACTGAGCGGTGTGTTAGCGAGGATGCTAGGCCCCAAAATGGTGAATTGTAAAATCTCATATCACTTAGGGAGTGGAACAGAGCATTCAACGATGTTAGATGAATACGACTCTTCACAATGGTATGATATTATCCACTTTGAACATAATCTCTCGTGGTTTTGCTTTGAGCTTCCCCAAAAGACCTCATACCAATGGAGAGTATTCTTTGATTATAAACCCATGATCATTCCCTAAATTAGCGGATGTGATGTGAGACTTTCATCATTCAACCTATTGACATGGCTAAGTTTGAGTTTATAATCAAAGAATACTTATTCCATTGGGATGATGCCTTTTGAGGAAACCCAAAGCAAAGCCACGTTGCTCAAAGTGTATAATTTCATACCATTTGTGGAGAGTCGTGTTCTTCTAACAAACGATACCTAAGGTATCAGAGCTAGTCACCGAGCAATGTACACGAGAATGTTGGGCGCCCAAAGGGGTGGATTGTAAAATCTCATATCGGTTGGGGAGGGGAACAGAGCATTTAGTGATACTTAACCTGTATCAGAGCTAGTCACCAAGCGGCGTGCCAGCCATGACGCTCGTCCGAGGGGTGGACTGTAAGATCACATATAAGTTAGAAAGAGACTATTCTAACGTGTAATATTTAAACAGAGACTTAATCTAAACAAATTAAAAACTTTTTTAAGGAAATGACACTAATTAAATTTGTAATTAAACCAAAGTTGGGTAACAATGAATTACAAGGTTTTGCCCAATTTTGAACCAGGTGGTGGCCGGAAACCCAAAAACAGGCTCCCTAACAATGTCCGTATTCTGGTTAGCTCCACAGTTTCTGATCATCGGATTCGGCGACGGCTTCGCCATCGTCGGCCTCCAAGAGTACTTCTACGACCAAGTTCCTGATTCAATGAGAAGCCTCGGCATCGCGTTTTACCTCAGCGTAATAGGGGCCGGAAGTTTTCTCAGCAGCTTGCTCATCACGGTGGTCGACGACATAACCAGGCGGACCGGTAAAAGCAGCTGGTTCGGCAAGGACCTCAACAGCAGCCGCCTCGACAAGTTCTACTGGCTCTTGGCCGCCGTCTCAGCCGCAAATCTCTGCGTCTATATACTCATCGCTCGCCGCTACTCTTACAAGAACGTGCAGCGGCGCGTGTGCGTCGCCGATTGTAACGAAGATGAAGCGCGTGAAAATGGAGAGTCCATGGCTTAAGACTAATTGGGACGCGTTTTGGCTTTGGTATTAGTGACTAATGGAGATTTTAGTGTATATTTTTAAGGGGTAAAATAGTAATTATGTATTTTAACAAAAATAAAGTCGCTATGTAACCATTTTTATTAGTAATGATAACTAATAAGGATCCTCCTCCTCCCTCGCTTTTAAAAACTATTTTTTTAATTGTGATGTATTGTTGTCGATCTCACAATTTTAAAAAGTATTTCTTAGAGAGAGGTTTCCACACCTTTATAAGAAATACTTTGTTTCCCTCTCCAACTATGTACGATCTTGTAATCCACCCTTCTTGGCTGTCCAGTGTCCTCCTTGACACACCGCTCGATGTTTGATCATGATATCATTTATAACAGTCTAAGTTCACTATTAGTAGATATTGTCAATTTTAACCCGTTATATTCGCTATGAGCCTCACGATTTTAAAATATATCTATTAGGAAGAGGTTTATACACCGTTATAAGAAAATATTTTGTTCTCTTATTTGATGATCTCAGAATTATAAAAATTATAAGACATATATAATAAAAAATTATCAAATAAATATGCGTTACTTAATTATGTATACAAGAATTATAAATTTAGGAAAAAATTGAAATTTATTAAAACATATTAAATTTATAACTGAACATATTAAAAAAAGAATCTCTAGTGTGGTAGGCAGCAGTCAGTAAAAATACCAAATTGTCCTACAAAAACGAGAATTTACCGCATTAAAAAATGGTAGATTTGGTGGGTGAAGGCAGTAAATAGCCGCCAACAGTGACTGTGACATTAATTACGTGCATCATCAACCCCTGTTCGAATCCGCTATTCGAGGATTCATCGGACGGTTAAGGAACATAATTAAGGATACCCCTTCCTTAGCTAAGGGCACTGAGTCCCTTATTAATTGGGTAAAGTTGTCTTTCTTTTTCACCTACATTTACTCTCCCCGTCATCTCATCACATGACGTCATTCCAAAGTACTTTCCCTTGTGTTATTTTTTTTTTTTACCCATGGTAACTTTATTTCCTTATTCATTTCCCAATGTTCATTAGGGACCCAAAGGTATGATCTTGACCCAAATCACATGTGAGTTGAAACCCTCTCTAAATACTTAATATGATTTGAGTTTGAAAAAGATTAGAATTTGATAATCGAGTCGAGGGATAATATAATATTGAAAAGTTAAAAGTTATATCAAAATAACTTATTCGGTCCTGTGTGCATGATTTTGTCTCGTCCATTCCAAGTGGCTCTAAGTCCAACTCAATACAGGCTTGCTGACCAAACAACAAATGATCAGAATCATATACAAAACATTGTTTATAAGAGTGAAAATCTGCTCTAGATTCAACCCAATACAGGCTTGTTGACCAAACAACAAATAGCTAGATCATACACAAAACATTGTTTATAAGAGTGAAAATCTCTCACTAACAGACACCGTTTTAAAACATTGAGAGAAAATTTGAAAGAGACAATATCTATTAACAGTAACATAATATCTTATTTTTTTTATTTTCTTATTTTCTATAATCCAAATTAGTGTGGTGAGTTGGAAAACTTTTGGAAAAGAGATATTTTGATGAATTAAAATATTCTAAAATAATTATAACAAAAATTAGAATAATATTATTGAAAGGTTAAAGTTAAATAAATAAATAAATAAACAATTGAATATTAAAAAGTCTAATGCCAAATAGGAATAAAGACTAAAGTTGAAGCATACAATATGATTCATTCCTAGAGAAAGCATTTAAAAGGAATAAAAGAAAAAAAGCCAAACTATAAAAAAGTACTTATGCCAAAAATGTTTATATTCTTTTAAAAGTTACAATCTCACTTTAAACTTTTTACCTAAAATATTTATTTCACTTTGATTTCGACCCGTAAAAAAAAAAAAATTAAGAGTAACAGTGATTTAGAATTAAAATTTAAAAATCGACACATAATTAGTAAGGTCCACGAAACAGGGAGGACAACGTACTATTTCAATATTTATTATCGTAAAACTAACAGTGATACGTAACTAGACACGGCCAGCTCCCTCAACAGTATCCCACTTTGTTTGTTTTTTTGTTTTTTATTTTCCTTTTAGGGGAAGAATAAATTTGACAAAAAATAAAAAAGAAAAGGACTGACATTTTTGGAAAATTGTTGATATTTTGTCTAACTTACTACCTCTCTGGGATGTCTTAAAAGCACTCAGTTCTGGATATTTTGACCATACCATCCCTTTCACTATCAACCAAATCTCTCTCAATCATTTTTTTTTTTTGTTTTTATCACGTAGGATATCACAATCTACTCTCTTTCTGAACTATGTCCTTATTAACACACCATTTGATAGTGCAGTAGTGTAACGATGGCACAGACAAGATGGGTTTATTGCGTTCTTGGAGACCATTTCAATCATGGGTTTGTTTTATTTTTTATTCAAAACATAAAAGAAAATATTAATGTTTCCATTTTAGCAAAGGATATTCTCAGGCTTATTTAACTAAAATGATATATATAATAATAAAAAAAGGGTCAAAATGAGTTGATGGGTGAAGAGTGTGTGTGTGTTGGAAAGGGGTGGTTTGTATCCAGGACTTTTGTACGATGTATTTTGAATTTTTGTCATTTCTCCTTCGTTTTTTCTTTATTTTATTTATTCCCATCTTCCTAAATTTTATTATATTTACATCTACTCATTCATACTTTCCAAAATCAGATTCAACCTTCCAACTTTTCAACATTTCTTGTACTATGTTTAAAAAAAAAATCTTGTGAGGATCTTAATCGGTCAAAAACTAACCAATTCAGTCATTTCGTTTGTCCTGTATTGATACATTTTGACATAAACGTATAAACAAGTCACGTTCTTAGCTATGTATAACCCATTTAATAGATTTTTAGTTGAATTTTTTAAATAACGAGAATTACCCGTATATTATTGAGTTTCAAAATCGTTCCAAAAAATAAAAGAATAATATCATTTAAAAAGAATAATAATAATAATAAAATATAAACGCATAGTAAAATTATAGGACAAGAATCCATGACTGGAAAAGGCAAATCGACAAAGAAAAAACAAAACATCCCTAACTTCTGAAGACATAACACAGAACCATTGGAAAATGGATAATATGAAACAATAAATATAATTAAAAGTCGAAAAGAAAAAAAACATTCAAAGATATCTTCTCAAAAAAAAAAAAATCAGAAAGGGGGGGTTTGAAGTGAATTAGATTCTCCAGGTACAGGAACCCAATGGATAAGTGGTGAGCAATGGCTAAGTGATCCAAAGAAATCTCTGTTTTTATTCTACCTACTTCACGTGCAAAACCCACCGCACATTTCACTCCCGACATCATATCTACTAGCAGTGAGTTTAGACAGTCGGTGGGTTAGCAATGGGCCTAGACAATTAATTAAACGGGTTTAAGGGAGTCAAATTCGATTATTTTACCGGGAATAGCCGGTTGCCCTCTTCTTCTCCAGAACTGTGAAACCCTATTCAGAGATGGAAGAGAGAGAAAAAGAAAAAAAGATGGGATTTTTATTTGAGTGGTAACTTGTGAAAGTGTGTATGAAATTAAAATTTCTTTCTTACAGAAACTGATAGAGAGAATCCCACGCCTCCAATCCCCAATCACTTCTGAATTTTGCAGCACCCACCTTCTCTCTCTCTCTCTCTCTCTCTACAATATTATATATCCAAAATTGTTTAATAGTTTTGAGTTGGGTTTGTCGTTTGAGTCGGCCATGGCGGAGGGTTTTGAACTCTACCATGTCCCACAGCAAAGCAGGCGAGACAAGCTGAGAGTAGGAGTTGGGAGTGGCGCTACTAATAATCCCAATTTCCTTCCTTTATATCATGATGATGATGGTGATCCCTCTTCTTTAATCTCCCCCGATTTTGATTTTCATCAAAACCCCTCTTTTAATCTTCATAATCATAATCATTACCCTCCCACTCCCCCTGCTGCTTTCGCCACCACCGCCCACCATCTCCCCCCGCTCCTCCCCGACCAACAACAACCACCCTTGTCCCTTGACCTCAACCTCCAACACCGCTACGCCTCTTCCCCCGCCGCTTTCTCTCCTCTTCTTACCTCCAAATTCTTGAAGCCAGCTCAGCAGCTACTCCACGACCTATTCCACTACGCCGGCAAGTTCCCGCCTGATTCCCCCCTTGTTGACCCTCTTCTTGACAGCTTGGGCGCTGATATTCCCACTGCCGCTCTTCATCATGACCCCACCGACGATGGAATTGAAAGCCGGAGGAGAAAATCTAGGCTTATTACCATGCTCGACGAGGTACATATTTTGATTTCATAATCATACAACATATTATTTATTATTTTCCTTTAAATTTAATTTAATTGCTCTCTTGTTCTCCATTGCTTAATACTTTATATACATGCATTTTAATATAATTACTTCTTACCAAATGAAATGACTTTCACCGGTTGACGTGACGGATTTTGATTGGACTAACGTATTAAATTTAAGTTAATATGATAGCCCAGCCTGCCATTTAATTTGTTAAATTAATTTATAAAAAAAAAAAAATGTCAAATGGAATCCATGATTGACTCTTAACTACTCAAAAGTTTGGATTTTTATTTTATTTTATTTTTCCATAAAGAAAGATCTTAATATAATTTGGATGTTGGGCATTGGTTAAACCGACATGGAATATGTTAATTTGTTTGGTTATTAAATTAATGGGGTTTTGAATTTGAAATAATCTCTCTTATTTTATGTGCATTAGATTCTTTTTTGTACTGAGGAGCTGAGGATCAAATGTGTGGTCTTTGATGTTTTAAACAACATATGTCTTTTTTTGATAAAGTTAATGAAAGGGAATATATGCACAAACATCCATTGTTTGTTTCTTATTTAAGCTGTCTGATTCACCGCACAATCCCGCAATCCGGGTTCGACAATTCTTAAACCAAGTTTAAGAGGATAGATATGTTTGTTGTCTATAAAGTCATTTAAAAAGGGAATCTATTTTAGAGGAATTTTCAATGCTTTCATCATCGTGATATTCTTCTGGTTAAGTCGTTGAATAGATGTCTTGAATCACTGAGCTGTTTTCATAGCCTAGTTGCTAGATTCGTTTTTTCTTTACATGTTTTGTGAAACTCTTGTATCAATGACTTTGTTGGCACTTCTTGGATACGTGCGCGGCCGTGTAGGAAGAGAGAAGTACCCGATTTCTAAATCGGACTAAAAATTTCAATATCAATACTTTAATATGCAAAAGTTTCAAAATTTATTGATTCCAGTGATTTGAAATTCTATCAAATCAGCCATGGATTGTAAAGCCTGCAACTTTGTTCATTCTCTATTGCACAGGTTTATAGAAGATATAGGCTATACTATCAGCAGATGCAGGCAGTGGTGACAACATTCGAGTACGTTGGTGGGCTTGGCAATGCAGCTCCCTACGCGAACTTAGCCGTGAAAGCCATGTTTAAGCACTTCAGATTCTTAAAGAATGCCATTGCCGACCAGCTCCAATTGAACAAGCAGCATCAGCAGCAGCAGCAGCCGCCGCCGCCTTATAACCCGTACTGTCAAAGATCTATTCACAACAACAGTGGGGGATTCGTGGATCACCAACCCGTTTGGCGCCCGCAGAGAGGCCTCCCAGAGAGTGCTGTCACCGTCCTCCGAGCTTGGCTGTTTGAACATTTCCTCCATCCGTAAGAATTGTGTGGAAGAACATGAATGAAATGATTGAGCTTATGTTAACCTATCAACTTAGCCTTTGGTTTTTACCTTACAGTTATCCTACGGATACCGACAAGCTCATGCTGGCTAACCAGACTGGTCTCTCGCGAAGCCAGGTGTGTTTCATCCCTATATTGATTAAGATAAAATAATGTCAAAAATACACCTAGGACAATATTTGCTTGCAGTAGGCTTGAGCGGTTACAAATGGTATTAAAACCAGACATTGGGCTGTGTGTCAGCGATGACATTGGGCCCTCTAAAGGGGTGGATTGTGAGATAAAATCTTGAGGAAAAGTCGAAAGAGAAAGTACAAACAAAACAATATCTGCTAGCGGTGGGCTTGGATTATTACAAATGGTATCAAAGCCAGACACCGGGCAGTGTGCTAACAATGACGTTGGCCCTCTAAGAGGTGGATTGTGAGATCCAACATTGGTTAGAGAGGGGAACGAAACATTTCTTATAAGGGTATATAAACCTCTGTTTAGTGAATGCATTTTAAAACCTTGAGGGGAAGCCCGGAAGAAAAGTCCAAAGAGGACAATATCTACTGGCGGTGGATTTGTGCTGTTACGAATGTTATTAGAGCTAGACATCGGACGGTGTGCCAGCGAGGACGTTGGACTCCCTAGGGGGGTGGATAGTGAGATCCCACGTGGGTTAGAGAGGGAAACGAAATATTTTTTATAAGGGTGTGGAAACCTCTGTTTAGTGGACGCGTTTTAAAACTTTGAGGAGAAGCTCGGAAGAAAAGCCCAAAGAGAACAATATCTACTAGGTGAGTTTACATTGTTACGAATGTTATCAGAGCTAGACACTAGACGGTGTGCCAGCGAGAACGTTCGACTCCCCAAGGGTGTGGATTGTGAGATCCCGAGTTGGTTGGAGAGGGGAACGAAACATTCAACCTCTTTCTAGTAAACTCCTCTTAAAATCTTGAAGCGAGGAAAAGTTCAAAAATAATAATATTTGCTAGCGGTAGGCTTGACGGTTACATCATTAGATTATATTATATTATATTAAGTTGTGATGGGAGTTTTGTTCAGGTATCAAACTGGTTCATCAATGCAAGAGTGAGGCTATGGAAACCAATGGTGGAAGAAATCCACATGCTAGAAACAAGGGAAGCTCAGAAATCTCAGCACAGGGACGCCAATAATGGAACTCCCTTAAACAACAACGACGACCATCTTTCATCCACAAACCAATCATTGAATAACGCATCTTCTTCAAACCATGACCAACACCCACTCCACTTATCCAGCTCCAATTTCTTTCCGACCCACCACCCTCACGCGCCTGCCGGAGCCACCACGATGGGCGCCGGCAACGTTTCCTTAACTCTGGGGCTCCACCAGAATCACGGCGGGATCACTCTCACGGAGCCGTTTCCGATCAATGCAGCTCAGCATTTTAACCTTGGGTTAGAAGCCAACGGTGAAGGGTTTGTAAATGAGTGGTTTTGATTGATATTTATATATATATGTCTGTGTGTGTGTGTGTGGTTTGTTGGGTAAAGATGTTCAATTTTGGACATCATGGGCAGCGAGGTTGTTAATTCAGACATTATACTCACAAATTTTGAGCTACGTGTAAGAATTTTATAATCTGACCTGAAATTGGAGTTGGCCTAATTTGTTTCCTTGTAACCATTGAAATACTATATATATATATATATATGTGTTTATTACAACGAGCGAAAATGAAGGTTGAAATTTCATATTGGTTGGAGAGAGAACAAAACATTCTTTACAAAGTTATGGAAACCTTTTCATAGCAAACGAGTTTTAAAACCACGAGAATACAAGTGATCCGTAACGGGTCAATGCCGACAATATCTACTAATGGTGGGGTTGAGCTGTTACAAATGATATTATAGTTAATCACTGGACAGTGTGTTAGTGAGGATATTGGGCTCCGAAAGGGAGTGAATTATAAGATCTCACATCAATTGGAGAGGGAAACGAAGTTATAAGAGTGTGAAAACCTCGGATCTATTTTAAAACGGTAAAATTGACCACAATCGCAAAATTAATTTGAAGTAAATTGGCTAATGACAGTTTAAGTACTTTAAAAGCCAACATAATTGCAAAGGAAGAAGCATTTAAAAGAGCCAAGCGGTAAAAGCCATTTTTTAAAAATTAAATTTCTTTTGCAAATAAGATATTCAAATATATCATATTATTATTATTATTTTAAATACAAACGATACAGCTAAGATTTAGGTGGCGTGCTATTCTTATTCAAATGATAATTCAAATTCTCATTTCTATGCTTTAAAGTTTCTCCTAAGAAAATTTCATATTATAATAAAGTCTTTTTTATTTTTTAAATTAAGTCAACAATTACATTTATTTTATTTAAGTGAAATAATCCAATATTAATTAATTTATTTTTATATCACATATTTACTATTTAAAATATATATATTAAATGGACTGAAAAACACTAATTTAGTTAAAGTGAGTAATCCTCGTAAAAAAAAAAAAAAAAAAAAAAAAAAAAAAAAAAAGAAAAAAAGAAAAAGGGGTGGTTGTGGAAGTCGGCTGGCTTGGCTTATTTGTCAAAAGTAAAACCACTAATAAAACCATCAGGTCAATTTTCCATAGTCCACAAGTCCTGTTCTTCTTGAGTTTTCTTCTTCTAGGGTTTTTTTTTTTTCTCTCTCTCTCTTACACGGTCACTTTTCTCCAAAATTCTTGATTTCTTTGTCTTTTAAGACGGATGTGAGATCAAGATCAGCCGTTCTTGTGTCACCTTCCAGGACGGTTTGAAAACGGCAAATGAATATGGAAGCTCGAGTTGGTGTAGTGGTCGAAGGAGGGCAGAAGGCTCTTAATTCTGCTCACGGCGCCGTCGTCGACGGCGGTGCCAGGAAATATTTACAGCAACAAGGCCAGAACAAGCCGTCGTTGAACCAGCAACCGCAGATTGGCACGGTGCAGCAGCTTCTAGCCGGTGGTATTGCGGGTGCCTTTAGCAAGACGTGTACGGCGCCTCTTGCTCGACTCACTATTCTCTTTCAGGTATGATTCTTCTCTATCCGAGTTTTAAGTCGATTTTGGAAGGCTTTGTTTATGTTTTTTCTGATCTGTTGGTCTCTTTTTTAATCATTACCTGGGAAAGAAGAAACTTATGGGATTGGGGTAATAATTTTCTTGCTCCTTGTTTATGGGTCCACCAGGGTTCTTTTGTTATGTATGTTGCTTCGGGTTTCATTAATAGATGGATGAAGATGAGAAACGTTTAGGCAATAAATTCTTGTCAGGACATAGCTTTACTTAATTCTATGAAGAAACCGCGATTACGCCATTGTGTGAATGCTGGGTTTCACTTGATAGATTAGCGTGCTTTTGTTGCTCTGACCCTGAATTAATTTAGTTCTTAACTTCCTTTCTCGATCCAAATTTACCAGGTGCAAGGTATGCACTCTGATGTTGCAGCAATGAAGAAAACCAGCCTATGGCATGAAGCTTCACGTATCATCCATGAAGAGGGATTCCGTGCATTTTGGAAAGGCAATCTGGTCACTATAGCTCACCGTCTACCGTATTCTTCAGTCAATTTCTATGCTTATGAACAATACAAGAAGGTGAGCAATAGATTGTTTGAGAAACTTTGTTGGTAATTGGTGGCCGAGAGCATTCGAATAGTTTTCCAATCGTCTCGTCTTTTCTCTCCTCTTTGCAGTTTCTTCAGTCAATGGTTAGGGAAAGATATCAGGGCAATGCCAGCGCGGATCTTCTTGTGCATTTTTTTGGCGGTGGTTTGGCTGGAATAACAGCTGCCTCTGTTACATACCCACTGGACCTTGTCAGGACCAGACTCGCTGCACAGGTAACTATTGTTATTGTTGATGCTGCTACTGGTGGTGGTAACTGTTATTTATTTCTTGTTTGGGACAAGAAGTAGAAATTTCAATGAAAGAGGAAACATACGCCCGGGGGTTGCAAAATGCTGCATTTGCCTAAACACCATCCAGTTTTTCTTTAGATCATTTCACTTGTAGTCGGTGAAAGGAAGGTAAAAACTTTTACACCAACCAACGGCCGGATTAAAAATATTTTCTAAAAATGTATTGAAGGCGAGAGTTTTTGTCTTTGAAGGTTCTATTGCTCCTTTTAACCGAGGCCCCAAAGGTAGACTCTGACCAACAAAACCTATAATCCTTTTCTCTTTTACGAAGGGAGTGGCCATGGCCAAGTTGTTTTGGGTGTGATTTGTTTTGTGGTTGGTTTATCATTTTTGTGAGGTTGCTTTTGCTTATACTTGGAGGCGACAATATTTCTTAACTTTTCAATTCCATATTGAAAAGTTTGGTTGCATCTTGAAAAAAAAAAAAAAAATCTTTAGCATGGCATGTTGCAGTAGTTATAAACTTATAGCATCCAATCCTTGTGTTACCTCTTTTTTCCTTGTTTGAGTAATCCTTTTCATATTTAAACTCCACAGAGAAATACCATTTATTACAGAGGCATCTGGCATGCATTCCATACCATTTGCAGAGAAGAAGGTTTCTTTGGCTTGTATAAAGGACTTGGAGCAACCTTGTTGGTATGCATTTTGATAGTTATACATATACCTGCATGTTTGCTCCATTCATTTTCCTCAACGGCCTTATAAAACTGCACGTGGGACAGGGTGTTGGACCAAGTATAGCCATCAGCTTTTCAGTTTACGAGAGCTTGAGATCATTTTGGCAATCTCGAAGGTAAGAACTTTGTGGTTAGGTTATATTTGGGTGCATTCTATTTGAAAGTTATTTACATTTTGGTTCTATACTTGTGGGTATTGGTATAATGATCATTTGATTTGACACCAGGCCTCATGACTCCACTGTAATGGTCAGTCTTGCTTGTGGTAGTCTTTCAGGCATAGCATCATCAACAGGTACATTTGGTTTCTTTCAATCCTACTTACTCATTCTCATTTGACGATTTTGGTATAGTGAATCAAACTGATAGAATTTTCTGTTTCTTCTGGTTCATCATATTCTCCTGCAATGATAGCTATTTTGGTGAACATATTTGTCTTTCTTCCTGCTTTATTTCAGCAACATTCCCTTTGGATCTTGTGAGACGAAGGATGCAATTGGAAGGTGCTGGCGGGCGAGCCCGTGTTTATAACACTGGCTTGTATGGAACATTTAAACACATAGTGAAGTCAGAAGGTCTTAAAGGTTTGTACCGAGGGATTCTGCCAGAGTACTACAAGGTTGTCCCAAGTGTAGGCATCGTCTTCATGACATACGAGACCCTGAAAACATTTCTATCACAAATTTCCTCACGTTCATAGCTGCTCTCAAATGTGTGATTCTTCCATTTGAGCTCAATACGACAATTTAGAGCGCCCCATTCATTTTTTTTTTCTTTAGAAATTTTGTGGCAGTAAATTTTTTGGTCGTTACTGCCAGGAGAAGACTACTACTAGTATTTTTTTTATCTTGTACAGGAAGAGTTTAACCCAAAGAGAGTCTACTACTGGGTGGTCATGCCTTTGTATACCGTTGCCTATTAGAATGATTCCTTTCAATATTAATATAATTAATTTTGTCTCAATAATTGCTAACCATATGACAAATAATTACTCGAATGAATCATTGACGATGAGTCTTATTAATTGATTTCGTTCGTGCATTATCATAAGTATTACTAGTTAGTATGAAAATTTTTATTCGTATTCTATCGAAGCTCGTTATTCCTATTAAACTAAATACACTCGAACGAGGCCTTAGTTTGTCAATACAATCACAGTCGTACTATCCATTTATTTATCTATGCCTCACATAAAAGTTGTTCATTGTTTCAATAGAAAAGAGAGAAAAATATAATATTGGTAGCGAAAATATTTAATAAAAATCTACTTATTTTGGAACGACAAAAATTTGGGTTAATCGACGACTTCGTTAGCAAGCGGAAACTTGGCTTGGAGAAAAAGGAAACTTAATTCTGTAAATCACCTGTTCCATTCTTGCTTTCCTTCAACCATCCCGACGGAACCAGCCGCCGCGCCTATCTTTTCTCTCTGATTCTCTTCCGAAGGTATGCATTTCTCATCTCTACATCTGCCAACTGTTTTCCGATGGACTGTCTACTGAAAAATCTACTGATCTTCCGTTTTGAATTGCGGAATCTGTATATATAATTTCGATTCTAAGCTCTCTTTGCACTTTTGGAAATGAAATTTCGGATCCAATTCAAACGCGGTGTAGTCCTACTGAATCTGTCGAAAGTTATTTCTGTTGGTAATGGTGCATTAGGTCTGGCGTCTGTTCTTTTTTATCCTTTAATTTGGTCATCCTTCGTTTCTTCTTTCGATTTTGTATGTTTGTTATGTTTTCTCCGAACAAACAATCTGTACACTTAGAGTGGGTGAGTTTGTTATGTAGTTTAGGTTAGAAGAAGAAACTACTAAACAATGTTTATTCTAAAATTTTCTCGGAACAGCTAAACCTGTTGAAACAAGTAACCAAACACATGCCGCAGATAAGCTAGGGACAACGAGAGAGAGAAAGTTAGCAGCATTGCATCTCATAGGGGATGGGGGAACAGACCAAAAGTAATATACAAATTTTCTGGAAAAAAATTGTTTTTGAAAATATTGAATAAACTACCCGTATATTGGGGCTTGTTACAATTGCAGCAACAAATTTTCAATTCAAACAATCACACACTCTAAGTTGTATTGCTGAAGAAATTTGATAGGTTTCCATTATTTACTTGAGAATTCTCCAAAGAGAACATACAATCTATCAACTATGACCAATTAGAGACGGTCACAATCTCCACGCTTGTCTCACTTCCACAAGACAAGAACTAGAATTGGTGTGTTTACAAAACCACCCATATGAGTAGAACAACTTAACCAGCAGAGGAATTTATAACTCCCTAACACACAAAATTCAAATATAATAACTACTAAAAGTCCCGTAATAAACAACTACTCACCCTTGTTTCTTGAGACGAAATTGCCTTTTTCCCCTTCTAGCTCAAACATCCCAATTGGAGGTTTTACAAAATTGTACCCTGTTAGTGTTTCTGTTTTAAGGTTTCACTTGTCAGCACAGCATATAAATGTGCTTATGGTTCTCCATCTTTGTATAATGGCATGGTTTCATGCTTTGGAAAGAAGATGGGAGGTTAAACTGAGGAGGACAAAATGTTGGCAAAGGGAGGTCAAAATGTGTTAAATTGAGAGAGAGAGAATGTGGTGGAGGCATAGTAGAGAGAAGAGAATGCAAAGGAGAGATGAAGGTAGAGGTAAATACAGATATATTGAAATAAAGAAGAAACTTTGTGTGTTAGAGATACGATGATAAGAGGAAATATGTTCTTCCTCTCTGGTTGTAGCGTTTACTATCTTGATTTCTTCTCTCTGCCCTCATCTCCCTTCGAGACATTTTCGTTTTCCTACACCCCTCATTTTGGCCTCCTCATCTAATTCCATCTACTTGTTATTATATAAAATGCATGAAATCCTAATATTTTAGGAAGCTGGAAACTAATTTGAGCTCTGTGTTTACTGCTCACTCATTGATAGTTTTAAACAGAAACACAAGCAGTAAGGGTCCAAATTTTTCCAGACCATTTTCAGAATGGTTTCATTTTTAGTTTTATGTTTTTGAGATTTGTGCTTGTTTTCTCCCAACTTTCTGACTACCGTTTTCATTTTTCTTAAAGAAGCGTTTGAATTCTTAGTCAAATTTTTAAAACAAAAACTACTCGGCTAAGTATAGTTTTATGGTAATTGACATGTACCATATCTATTGAGGTTAGAAGTTAAATTCCCCCTATCCCCTTTGTTATATAATACTAAAAAATTTATCCAAAAACAAAAACAAGAACAAGTTCTTAAAAACTATATATATATATATATATATATATATATATATATATATATATATATATATATATATATTTTAAAGTTTTCAAAACTTCGTTTGACTTCTGAAAACATTGATACAAACATTGGTACAAAGTAGATAACTAAACAAGGGAACTTATTTGTTGAAGTAGTGTTTATAAGATTAATTTTCAAAAATAAAAAATCAAATGGTTATTCAATGGGGTCTCACTTATGCAACTTGTGTGGTGTAGTTGCTCAAATTAGTAATTTGAGGTTAGAAATGTAATGAGTCGTATCGAACTGGTGTGTTTTGTGAAGTTTTCCCAATGTTTTTGAAAATATGATGCGTCATCATATTCATGCCATGCCATGTCTGCCTCCCATCTCCTTATCCATGCTAATTTGATTGGGATCATCATCCCTGCAGATTATCTATCCTTAATTCTCCATTCTATTTCTCTCTGTCCAACAGAATATCAGAAAATGTCTCGAAGATATGATAGCCGAACAACGATTTTCTCTCCTGAAGGCCGTCTTTATCAAGTTGAATATGCAATGGAGGCAATTGGAAATGCAGGTTCTGCAATTGGGATATTATCTAAAGATGGAGTGGTGTTGGTAGGTGAAAAGAAGGTGACATCCAAACTCCTGCAGACCTCAACTTCCACTGAGAAGATGTACAAAATTGATGATCATGTTGCATGTGCTGTGGCTGGAATTATGTCCGATGCCAACATATTGATCAATACTGCAAGGGTTCAAGCCCAACGATACACTTACGCTTACCAAGAGCCAATGCCTGTTGAGCAACTGGTTCAATCTCTCTGTGATACAAAGCAAGGATACACCCAATTTGGTGGTCTACGCCCCTTCGGCGTTTCTTTTCTTTTTGCAGGATGGGATAAAAACTATGGCTTCCAACTATACATGAGTGACCCAAGTGGAAACTATGGTGGCTGGAAGGCTGCGGCAATTGGTGCCAACAACCAGGCAGCACAGTCGATGCTTAAACAGGATTACAAGGATGATATCACTAGGGAAGAGGCCATACAGCTTGCACTTAAGGTGCTTAGCAAAACCATGGATAGCACAAGTCTTACATCTGAAAAGCTTGAATTAGCTGAGGTTTTCCTCTCACCTGCTGGAAACGTCAAGTATCAAGTTTGCTCACCCGAGTCCGTAAGCAAGTTGTTGGTGAAGTCTGGTTTGACTCAACCAGCTGCTGAGGCTTCCTAAATGAAACACCTTATTTTAGACTCGATGCGTCCTATAGATGTCGAACAATTTCATCGTGCTTGGCCTGACATTTCTTATGATCTTCATATTACTTGAACTGATTATGGTCGTTGGATTGTTGGATTATCTTTACCAATGCTGTAAAACTATGAAGTGAGATATTTTATTGAGTTATATCTAGTCCTTTTTTTCGAAAACAAGACTATATGTCTGATCTTATCTAGTGGTTGCTGTTAGCGCCCCTCCCCCATCTCTCCCAAGGCCCATACCATACCTTCCACGGAAGAAGCCTCCATTGTTGTAGACGAATATGAGAGGGAGAACCTGTTCCATCTTGGATAGAAGAAAGGACAATACTTCATCTGTTGGAATAAAGAAGTTGTGCAAAACTATCTTCAATTAGATATATTCTGGAAACCTCTGTCATGAAGCATTTAGGTTGAATTGGATACTAATTTAGCAAGCTGGTTTAGAGGATCTGATCCCCGGGTTCTAAGTGGCTTGTACCACAAACATCTGTTGATCTTCCTCTTCAATTATACTTGTAAATAGTTGTCATAGAATTGGTTCATGAATATGATTGATGATGTTGAGAATGGGACAGAGGCCCTGTGTTTTGGCATCTGAGCAATGATGGAAAGGCACAACAGAGACGAGGAACAGGAAGCAAGCAGCAGATAAAAAGGAGGAAGCAAAATTGGTGCTCCTTTTTGGATGGGCATAAACATAGAATAATGAAAGGGCCTTTTAGAGTGTGTAAACAAAAGCCGAGGGTGACCATCTAATCTATACTTGGGATATAATCCCGTCAGCTGTTCCTTTAATCAATTAATGATTTCCAGATGGAAAAAAAGTAGAAGAATCCCAGATCAGTACACATGTTCATTAAAGCCATCCCTTTGGGTTCAAATAAATTAATAAGCTTCTGTATCACTCCTTTTACTTTCCTAGAATAGCTACTCACTCACGCATCTTCGCTTCGCTTTAATATTTAACATCAATACAGGAAAAATATCTGTTAGCGGTAGGCTTGAACTGTTATAAATGGTATCAGAGTGTTGGAGTAGGAGCTAATGACGATATATAATGGACAAAAACAAACAATATCAACTAGCGACGAACTTGCACTGTTGCAAATGGTCGATACATAACGGGCCAAAGTGAGGCCGGAGTGAACAAAACAAAACATTAGAGGAATTATCTTGGGAGGCAAGAGATAGATAGATACTCTTTGAAAAAGCAGTCAAGGGAAGAAGAACAATGATTGTGAAAGAAAAGAATGGGCACTTAATCATTCACTCGGGCAGCGTTAGAACAAAAAGGATCATCATTCATCATTCTGTTTCAGAGACAGCACCTTATCTATCATGGGTATCCACTTAATAATGCATTGCAATATTAAATTAAGATTATTGGGGGAATCAATGGCCTTAAACCCCTTATATAAATTCTCATCATAATGCACAACAACAACAACAACAACACCTCATATCCTTTTCTCTTCTTCTTCTCAAAATCCTTTCATTTTCAATGATTGAGTTAGGATCTGGTAATCTGCATCCTGAGGTTTAGGGAGTTCAAGGTGTTACTTATCCTCTCATGATGTGCTTCGCTGGTCCTTGGGATGCAGATTATCTCTTCCTGATTGACAATATTCGAATAGGTTTGCTTCGATCAAATCAAATATAAATTTAATTTTTACTAACACTTTCAGTGTTTCCAAAAGTGTCTATTAGAGCTTCGAAAGTATGATTCAATCAGCACAAGAAGATTATGAACAAGGTAAAGAAAAAAAACCCTTATGGGTTATTTGCTCATTAAATTGATTTATCTGTTAATGTTGTTGCTTGTTTTATGTTCTAAATTGTTTCTCTTTATTCTCTTCATATCTTTTTTATATTTAACGAAAATAATGAATGAAATTTTTAATAACTTGTTAATCTAAGTATTGATTATTGAGTAATTATTATAGTATTGATTATTGTTTTCTCCCTCCGAGTAAAGCTTTTAGGGTTTGAGATTAATGTATTTTCAGCTGCTATATCTATGATGGCTTCATGCTTATTTGAACCATTTTATGTGAAACCATGAATTATGAGATCCGAGGTTGATGGAAAATGAAACAAAACATTTCTTATAAGGTCGTTGAAACTGTTTTTAGTAGAGAAATTTTAAAATCTTGAGGGGAAGTTCGGAGGAGAGCCCAAAGAGTACAATATCAATTAGCGATGGACTTGAATTGTTACAAATGGTATAAGAGCCGGTCACCGGACCTTGTGCCGACGAGGACATGAGCAGGAGGTGCATTGTGAGATCAAGAACATGAGCGGAGTGAGATCTCACATCGATTGGAGAATGGAACATGGTCATTGAACGGTATGCCAACGTAGTACAATGTAATGATTATTGGGAGAATCATATCATATAAACATAGAAGTATCTGACTTGGAAGCCATACCGTTCCAACCCAACAAAAATCTACCGAGTTTCAATGAACCATACTCGTACATTGCTCATAAGCCATATAATACTTTCTGTAACTTACAAACACGCAAGGGCTTATAACAAATCCGCATGGAGATCTCCATTAAGGATCGCATTATGGATATCGAGCTCTCGTATGAGACCACTGAAAATACTCGAAAAGAGACAAAAATGGTCCCAACTGTGGCTAGCTTCATGATAGGACTATGGAGAGTTATGAAGCCCTCGAACAACCCCTCCCCTTATGTGAAGCTTTACTCCTCTAGAGTCCTCGAACAAAGTACACAATTTGAGAATTTTATTGTAATGGCTAAGATACTAAGTTAGGAATCACAGACGATTCACCTTGAATAAAAGGTCTCATGAGAATCATACTTATAAATTCATGGTCATTTCTTAAATTAGTCAACGTGAAACTCCCTCTTAATAATCCTCTCATCGGAATCCCATACGAATCCCATAAATTACAAAAATTGGAGACGAAATCATTTGAGAAAGAAACCCACGTTCCTGGAAAGCAACATTATGAGTGTTTGCTTTGATCCATCATTTTAATATTCACTATATTCTTCCATATCTACTAATTACATCTTCATCCCCTTTTGTAAGATAATAATAATCTTTATAAACAAAGATATGGTGTCCGTTCATTTTTTTAATCATAGTTTTGCTGGAATCATATGCCATATTTAATATTCAATCTTACCATATATTTATATATACATGGAGAGCTGGCTCTAGTTAACATCAAATTTTAAAAAGTAATGTTTATCCATTCATATGAACATGAACAAGAAGAACAAGAAGAACAAGAAGAACAAGAAGAACAAGAAAACGTATGGAATTTCCAGAGCAAGAAAACGCAGAGTTTTCATTTCTGGAAATCCTCCCAAGAAAAACAGAACCAAAAACTCTATTGGGTCCTAAAAACAGAGGAAAAAATGTACAGAAATGAAGTTCATAAATAATGTAAAGGTACCATTTTTATTGATTACCCATATTTGGAGATCTGAGCAAGAAGATACTGAGTTCTTGTCCCGGGAACTCGTCCGGGTTAATAAGATGGAACGATTCCGAGTCAGCACTCCCCACCACGTGCTCATAATTAGCTCTCATGTACATTACCTCCTCTGTTTTCGATCCCGACCCGAACCCGAACCCGGATGGCATTACTCCGGCTCCCACTGTTGTGGATTGCATTGTCTTTAGCATGGACCGGATCGAGTCGCCGGCTTTTTTCTTCGCAGCGAACCCGAGTTTTCGCCCGTTGCAGGACATTGCCCAGATGGGGATCGAACGGAGCGGGCAGAGCCCGAGTTCGACCCGGTTGCACTCGAGGGCGATTCGGACGAGTCCGAATCGCATTTCGTTGACGAGTTGGTGAGTTAGTATCGGAAACTCGAGTAGTAGAAAGGGCTTGTTTCGGAGGCGGTCTTGTTGGACGCAGAACCACACGTGCCCACGCCGATGGCCAAAGATAGTTCCGATCACCATAGTTTTCGAAGGCCGTGGTGGAGCTACAATGGCGGCGGCGGTGACGAATTTCGGCGTGACGCTGTCGGGAGTAGTGGCGGGAGAATCTTGATCGTGGGTTGGACCGCCATTGGCGGTGGTGGACGCGGAGATTTCTAAGTCGTCACGAAGCGAGGTGCTCAGACGTTTCTTGGGGGCTGCGGAGGCGGCGGTGGCGGTTGTGGCGGTGGGCGGAAAGAAACAGGGGAGGAAAAACCGACGAAGGGCGTCGATCTTGGCCATGGTTTTTTTTGGGGTTTGGATTTTTAGCTTAAAAAGGTGATTTTTGGGAGATTTTATATAAAGACTGTGATCGGAGAGGCTTTTCTGGGAAAGAGGTGAAGAATTTAACGAACAAAAAAAAAAAACAGAAACACTGAAATACAGTCTGTTCAAATATATATATATATATCTGACGCGGGAACTGAAGTAGCCGTTGGGATTAAATTTTAGTTGCCAGATAGCAATGCACACTTGTCAACTCATGAATGGTCCACGTCCTCATATCGCTAAATACAGATTTCCTAAATTTATATTTAATTAGTCTTCACATTTTAAGTTTATTCTAATTTAAAAAAAGTTATTTTTTAAATTACGCTCAAAAGTTTCTAAATTTTTTTATTTATTTCAAAAATAATAATAAAAAAAGAAGAAAAGAAGAAAAAGCCCTGAAAGTATGAATCACATATACATATATATATATATTTATATGATTTGTTGATTATGTACGACCAGATTTTTGATCCATTAACGGACTTTCATGAGGCTTCTGCGGTGGATCAAACGTTGGGTTTGGGTAAGAAATGAGTGGCGAAGAAGCGGAAGTAGAAGAAATTGAATGCCGCAATGACACCCACCACGTAGAAGAAGTAATCAAGGCGGTTTTTATTAAGATCATTACCTCCAAGCCATTCACTTTTTCCGCCCTCCACTCTGTTTATTTTGCTCACAATAGCCATAAGAACAGAGCTCATATAGCTACCTAACGACAAGCTCAAGAAAAATATAGCTCCGGCCACAGTCCTCAGGCTCTCCGGTAAGTGCGTAGTCAGAAGCTCCATCACAGCAATGGCCGCAAAAGCCTCCGTCAAACCCGACAGAGCAAACTCCGGTATCAGCGTCCAAACGTGCAACGGCGAAACAAATAACTTATTTTCCACCGCCGAGCTACGGCGGACATTCTCGAGGATTCCGGCAACCACCATACATAAAACCGACATCACAATCCCAATTTCGATCCTGGTTTTCATGGAGAAGCGTTTGTTTTTATGGGTTTTTTTCTTCATGAATTCCACGTATTTCTCGTAAATGTAAATCCAAATGGACAGAGCAATCATGGGTGTGAGACTCATCCAAGCCGGTGGGATTTGGAAATGAGGTCCGATGAATCTGTTCATTTGAATGGCTTGTAGGATCCCAAATGAACCCATTTGTTGCATTGAAATAAAGCATGGAATTCCGGCTGCCCAAATGGGGACAATCCCAACAACGCACTTCAATTGCTCCACTTGATGAACACTGCACAATTTCCACTCGTTCTTGGATTTCCCCTGTTCGTCCAATTCGGTGGAGGAATCAAACACCGTAGCCGCCTTGTCAAATACCAAAAACCTGTCCGTGTGAGCCAGCTTAGAGGAATCTATTGGAGGGTCATATAAGTGATCAATTTGAGTGAATTTTGGAACATTGCGCTTCCGACACGTGGCGACCAGGACTTTCGCCATGTCGGCAAAGACGCTGCCTTGAGGGGTCTTGCAGATGTAAAAGCGGCGGCCCAAGAGAAAGATGAGGATGGAGAAGACGAAGCAGGCGGTGGGAATGGCGAAGCCGAGGGTCCAACTTATGCTAGTTTGGAGATAGACGACAAGGGTTAGTGCTATGACGAGGGCGACAGAGAAGAGGAGATACCACCAGTTTAAGAAGCTTTCCAGCTTGGCTCTGCCTTTTTCAGTGTTGGTGTCGAATTGGTCAGCGCCGAAGGAGATGTTGCAGGGTCTTATGCCACCGGCTCCGATGACAAGTAGCCCGAGGCCGAGGTAGAGGAAGCCGAGTTGCCAAGGGTGAGGCTGTGGGCAGTTGGACTCGCCATGTCTGCAGGGTGGGGGTCTCATTTCAGGGAAGCCAGCGCCTAGTGTCAAAACTCCCATGCCCTATTATCAAGTAATGTCACGACATTCAGCCCATAATATTATAAGGCTTCTTTGTTTTGTTTAGAGCGCTGGTAATGTTCCGACTCGCCCGTCATTATGGATCTAATGCCATGACGAGGCAAAGGGGGAGGGAGAACTACGAAGCTTCATAGACTCGCAAAATTGCTTCCCTTAGAATGCAAGCAAGGTCACTTGCTTACTCTCTGTTAGCCACAAGAAAGGAGGCATTGGAAAGAAAGACTAGACTATATTAAAGTCAAGAGGCCTTTGGGAAGCAACTAGTCGCTTCTGGACAAGCTTCTATCAAACCGATGGATGTCATTTGTAACCGTTCAAGTGACAACAAGTAAATATTGTTTTTTTTTTTTTTGCCTCTCCCTTCTAGCTTTCTCTCAGGGTTTTAAAACGCATTTGCTAGGATGATGTTTCCACACTCTTACAAGAAATGTTTCGTTTCCCTCTACAACCGACGTGAGATTTCACAAGCGTCCTCGCTGACACATCATCTAGTGTCTGACTCCGATATTGTTCTTTTTGACCTTTTCCTTTTGAGATTCCCCTCGAGGTTTTAAAACACATATGTTAGAGAAATGTTTTTATTCCTTTACAAATAATGTTTCGTTCTTCTTTTCAACTAATATGAGATTTCACAAACCCCCCTTTGTGTGGGCTAGCGTTCAATGTCTGGTTCTAATACTATTTGTAACAGCTCAAGCTCACCGTTTTTTGGCCTTCCCCTTTTGGGTTTCTCCAAGGTTTAAAAATCCGTCTGATAGAGAAGAGTTTCTACACTCATACAAGAAATGTTTCGTTTTCCTCCCCAATCGATCGTGGGATCTCACATTAACTTTAATCAACATTAAATCAACTTACCATACAATAGCTAAATGATTGAGTAATCATATCAAATAATCCATGAATTTTGAAAGGTGAATATGTATACTTGGTGAAGAGGGGGTGGAAGAGAAGAAGAAAAGTACCAGGAGGGAGGCGAAGGAGCCAAAGAGGAGAGTATAAAACCTTCCCAAATAAGCATCAGCAAGAAAAGCCCCGGCGAGGGCAGCGAAATTGGTGGTGCCACTCCAGATTTGAAGCACATATGCCGAATCAACGCTGTCCAAATTGTACATCGTGTGCAGATACAAAACCAAATTGGCTATCAAGCTCATCGACGCCAGTTTCTCAAACGTCTCATTTCCTTCCACAAAACCAACAAACTTCATAACCCCAACAAACAAACAATGAACCAGATCCATAGCTATTAGATATTGTCCTCTTTGAATTTTTCCTTTCGAACTTCCTCTCAAGCCTTTAAAACTAGTCTTCTAGTGGAAGGTTTCCACACTCTTATAAATGGTGTTTTGTTCTCCTCCCCAACCAAGGTGGGACATCACAATCCACTCCCTTCAAGGAAGCCAATCGTCATCGCTGACACTCTTTTCTTCCTCTAATCGATGTGGGATCGCCTCCAAATCCAACCCCGAAGAGCGAGAAAGCTGACCTATCGTCCGGGACCCAAATCCACCGCTAGCAGATATTGTCCTCTTTAGACTTTCCCTTTCGGAGTTCGCTCAAGGCTTTAAAAAGCAACTAACTTCACATCCGTGTTTTGTTATCTTTCCCAACCAATATGGTACATCACTCAAAATTTTTTCCTCACACTCAAACAAACTAACAAATTTGATTAACTTACCAAGTATGAATCTGACGGCTCTCCATCCTCCGAGAGCTGCCTTTGGACGATCCAAGGAAGAATGAAGCCTCCCATTCTCCATAGCTCTTTCTCTTTTTCTTTCTTTCTGTGTGAAAGCTTTATAATGTTTGTGTTCTTCCCATTTCTAATTTTAGTGCCACTGCAGGTTGCTCAGTTGTAAACGAATCAAATTTCTATCTTCCAAATTCAACAAACACTTCATTGCACTTCTAATAATACCAATCCAACACAACCTTGTTTAACCATACCTTAAAAAAAGAGGGTTGCCGGCGATGAAAGAACCTTGTTTGGCCACATTTTTAGAACATATTCAGATTTGAATCGAGTACTAGGACTCATTACTTATGAATGTCGGTCGCCAAGGTGTTGAACTGATGATGTTTAAGAATCTAGGTTAAGTTTGTGTTATGCCCTTTTGTATGATCGTGTCCAATTCAGTAGATTATAATAGGATGTTGCTACCATGCGGAGACAATTAAGGGACTCGCAAACTCATTCTTAATCCTCCTGAACTCGTCTCGAGGGACAAGATGTAGCTCATATGGTAGAGCATTCGCTTAGCATGCAAGAGGCACAGGAATCGATTCCTTGCATCTCCATTTCATTATATCTAGTTGTTATGCTTTAATTATAGACCAAAGACTAGAAAAAGAAAAAAAAAATCTTGGTCTACAAATTCATGGAATGTAGCTCAGACCGTAGAGCCGTTTTAGCCTATGTATATCTATTATTAAGTAATAGATCCTACATTTTGTATTTTTATTTTGTTATATGTATGTCGGTCCTTCAAATATTCTGTGTAGTGATCCTAATTCAAAATCTCGAAAAGCACTCGTCATGCAAAGTCTAAAATCATGTTTAATTCAATATTGATGTGTATATGATTTATGTACCAAGTGGGTGTAGTTGGTTAACACATGGACACATAGGTGGACTCAAACTTATTTAATCCAACATATGGTTTTGTAAGAAAAGGTCAAACCTTGAAGGACTGAATTTTCCAGAATGACAGATCTGAATCTTTCAAAATTGAATTCCATTTACGTATAAAATGCGTTATCCAATCTCTCAAGCTGTGTGGCATATAAATGAAACCAAATCCATTGCAAACCTTCTTCAAGTTCGTGGGGGAAAAGAAAAGAAAAAAAAAAAATGGTTAATCCGGCGTTTATTATAATCCCAGTGGTTGTTTCCATTTGTGTAGTTTTCACGCTGTTGAGTTTACTATGCCATGGGACAGAGGGTGGCAGTAACGGCGAAGGAGGTGCTCATTTCGGCGGTGCTGCCCATGGTGGAGGATTGCATCATGGACATGCCGGCCTACACCATGGACATGGTGGGGTACACCTCGCAGGGGCCCATTTTGGAGGTGGAGGAGACGGCGGCGGCGGCGGTGGTGGTGGTGGCTGTTGACGTTAATTCTTTCCTTCAGAGGTGGGCGTATATATATATATATATATGATTAATTAGGTGTCAATTTCTCCTTGTACAATTGGATATGTTGGTAGTTCTCTTCTTTGTATGTAAATTAAATTTTTGTGTGTTAAACTATAATAAATTCTAAAAATTATAGTTTAGAGATTATAATATGAACTTATCAACGACTTCAAATTATATTCGTATGGTATGAATGACTTAGTGAATTAAATGGCTTAGCTTATTTTGGAAGTTGGTGATTTGAATTAGAATATAATTTTTTAGAATTGAATGTATATAGTTTATAAAACAATTGAGTTTACGTGTAAGATGCAACTCTTTGGAAATTTCAACACCACAGTTATTAAACCCATAATTCAATTATAAAAAGTTGAAAATCCATATTGCAATTCAAGCTTCAAGTTCATACCAAAAATGGTTGATCGGACCACTGTTATAGTAATTGTGGCATTCGTTTCCTTTGCTATTGTTGGCGTCTTCTTGCAGTTCCTCTGCAGGGGTGGTGATGGCTCCGAAGGTGGCACCGGCGTTCAACTAGAACTAGGAGGTGGGGGTTGTGGCGGTGGGGGTGGTGG